GAGGCATGCTGCCGCGGCCGGCTGGGTGCTGGCCGCCCACCGACAGCAGCGGCGCCGCCGACTCGGGGTAGGCTGGAGGGAACCGGACGTGCAGGACCACCGACACGTGGTTGTTTCGTCGCCGCCGGCCTCCGGCACGAGCGTCAGCTCAAAGCCGGGCGGATCAGCGCCGTCGAGGAGCTTGAAATCGTCCATGAAGATCGCCTCGAGCGCCTCGAGCTCCATGGCCTGCTCCTCCTCCATGAGATGTGATGCTCGGCAGATCGCGTTGGGCCTACGACTGCAGCAAGCCTCTCTCCGGGGCGATGGCCACAAAAAGAAATTCGCAATGGGATATCATATTCCCACGCGATCTCTCGCGAAAGATCTTAAAAAATGAACTCGGCGGCACGGGACGCGGCGGCACAAATGGGGCACGAACGCCAGGCTACAAACACGGGGAATCGCGACTAGCGGTCGGGTCCTACATGGCGTCTCCCTGTATTTTAACGCGATGCTTGGGGCAGCGGGGCTCAGCCGCCGAAACAAAGAAAGAAAAAGACCAGAGAGATAGCCAACTAAAACACTCCCTGGGCTTGGGTGACGTGTATCGCGCGCCGCGGAAAAGAGGAACCTCTTAGCGCCATCGCCACGTGCTGCAAGCAGCGCCGGGCGACGACGGCTTACCGCCTCCCGGTCCCCCTCGGCACACCCTCAATGGTGCCAAGCAGCCACGCCGCCGTGGAGCGACGTGCTCTCGGTACAGCGTGCTCGCAACGCCTCAGCGAGCCACGACTCCCGCAGGTTTGGGTGCCGCGCATGCAGCCGGACGCCCCGGCACGCATCATGTGGATGCATGCGCCAAAGACGGGCACGCTATTCAGTGTGACTGTGTACGCGCACAGCTGCGGCCCAACCTCCTTCAACGCGAGCCATATCTCGACCCAGAGCGGCCCTCCCCGGCTGGGCTGCGACTGCTCCGCCCGCCTCGTCCACCCTAGAAACCGGTGGCACCACGAGCCGCTTCCGCCATTGGTGCTGCGGCCAGGAGCCGTCGCCTTCCGCGTCGTCACCGTCGTGCGAGAGCCTCGGCAGCGGCTCCTTTCGACGTTCCGCTTCCTGCAGCAAGTCTTCGGGACCAACGGCACAAAGGGGTGCTGGGGGTGCTGCTGCGCCGGCTGGGGCCTCTCGGCTGCCCTGCGAACAACGTACTTCAGGACGGTGCGAGCCTTCCCGCGCGACGCCCCCGAGGGGCTCCGCGCCTTCCTGCAGATCCCCGGCGTCACCGGTTGCCAGACCAAGATGGTGATGGGCCGGGCCTGCGCCGACCCCTCGCCCGTCGCAGCCAACGAGAGCGCGGCCGCGGTCGGTTTTGTGCGCCACCGCATGGCCTTTGTCGGCATTGCCGAGCGTCGGCTCGAGACGCTCTGCCTGTGGCATGCCACCTTTGGGACGCCGCTCTGGTCGATTGAGGTGAGCGCCGCCGCCACGGCGCCCGTCCAGAACCACACGGCGCCCCCCGGGCTCGAGCTCGACGACGCGGAGGACGCGCCGCTCTACGCGGCGGCGGTGCGCCGCTTCGAGTCGGTCCCGGAGAGCACCGCAGCCGCAGTCCGGGCGTGCGTCTCCCGCGCGTCTGCCTTTGCGAGCGGGACGGCGGACACGGAGGAGGGCGCGGGAGGGTCGGCGGCGTCACAGAGGTCGGCGCGGCCGGCAAGGCTGGAGGAGGAGGCGCCGGTGGCGGACGGGTTGGCGGCGGACGAGGACGGCGGGGAGGAACTCAGGCGGGCGGCGGCGCCTACGGCGCTGGTGTCGGTGCTGCTGGCCATGGCGGCAGCCACGGTGCTGGCGACAGCGGCGTTCTTGTGCTCGCTGCGCAAGGTAGACCGCTTCTTCCAGGCCAAGGCACGCGACTGGGCAGAGGAAGCGCAGGCCAGCCACACCCTGCGCTCTCGTCTTCGTGCCGGGCTGGGGCCAGGCGCCTACCTCTCGAGGGCTGCCGCCGAGGAGGCGTGGCGTGACGCTGTGGCACAGGGTGAGGCCCTAGACGCGGCGCGTGGTGGTACTTCAGCGTGATTTACTTTCGAGGGGCCGTCAGGCGTCTCTCCGGTTATCACGATGACACCACGCTTGAAAAACCATCTGACGAGCCTCCGAGCATACTTGTGTGGACGTTTCGGGCTCCCATCCCCCGCCCCGGATCCGTGGGCGATCGCACACGCGGCTGGGGGGCACGGCGCGAGGTGCCAGGTGGCGCTTACCACTGAAAAGGAGGTTTTGGAGCCCCTAAAGCGTCATAATAGCCGCACGTTTGCACTCGCCGTGCCTTGCCATCTCCGAGCCGCGCCCCCGCCTTCAGTTTTAAGGCGAATCGGGTGCCGAACTCGGCGTCAACAGCTTTGGCTCGACATCTTTACCATTTTGGCGAGAAACGCATAAGCCGCCCCAGCGAAATGGCCGATACGGCCGGAATCGGAGGCAGCGCCGGGGCGGCTTATACGTTTCTCGGGGTCGTGTGGTTTAGCCGGATACCGACCTGGTGTCCCGTGGGGAAGGTATTGAACTGCCTTAAAACGGAAGGGCACGTCCTGTTCACGCGATGGCCAGCCGTGCTGTGAGCCCGAAGGGTCCGGCGAGTCGGGTGGCCAGCAGAGCCCTTGCTCAATATTGGCTCTGACGCCGTGCCAGTGTCGGCGCGCCGCGATCTGCATACCTGTTCGTACCTCTACAGTAGTGCGGCCACGTGTATTGCTGTTCGGCGAGCCGCGTTCCGCTCTCTCGACCGTGAGGCCAGTTGGCGGGCGCCTAAAGCGCCTGGTTTGTGCGTCGAGCGGTGAGCTCACAACAGACACCGTCCGAGCCCGATGCACGCCAGGCGTCTCATTCCAAGCCCACTACGCATTCCCACGCGCTCAGGCGCCGCTCGAACCCCACCTCTTTGAGCCGGTTACCCCGCGGCAAGGCAACTCGGCGCTCTCGATGTGCGCGCTAGGCAGTCTCAACGCCGATTACAGCCGAGCGCGCACGACACGTAGGCGTACCGGCGTGCCGCTGGCATACTACGCGACGGTGGAGGCGCGTGGGCTTGCTCAAAAGGCATGCATCTGTCGGAGAGCGTGCCGCAAGACCTGATGTGCCTCCGCTCCAGGTGTGTGGCAGTTCGATGGATCCAGCCCAGCGACCTCTACGTGACGATTGAGGACTGCTCTTCCCCTTCGGCCGAGCCTCCAGTCCCTGCCACCGTGCACTGGCGCCAGAAAGCTGCATTTACATCCCGCACGCGCGATCGGCAGTCGAGTTACAACCCGCAGCTGTGCTGTGTGCGCGCGCACTCGAGACGTGGTTCGGCGATCTCTCGGCGACCACTCGTCGACTCGCGCCCAGACGCGAGGTGCGTGCTCGCCCGGCCCCCCGTGAGGGGCCCATTCCATTTTTAGCGAGATCGGGGAAATCACTCTCATCGCCCGCCGCTCACGCTTCCCTCCCTCTCCCGCGCCGCCGTATCCGGTCCTAGCCTGCGATACATTGAGACCTCACGCCCCGCGACTGTCTTCCACGCTCGCAGGCGGGCCTATCCGCCGTGCCACTCCATGCATGATCACCGCTGGGGGCAGCGGTGCTCGTGCGACTGCGGATTCGGCCTCACCTCACGCCCTCTGGTTGCAGCTGCACGTTGCCGGGCGCCATTCTCGAGCCCTTTGGCGAATGGGCCCAAATCCGGGCTCTGAGCACGCCTACTGCTGACGATCTATGTAGCTAGTGCGGTGGGGTCTGGCGCAGGTGCGCGAGACCGTCGCCACAGGGGGGGACGCGCGATTATGTGGGCGCTCCCGAGGGGGCGAAACCGCGTGTTCAAGGGAAACCAGGCGAATTGCGCCCCCAAAATGGTCCTGAGCGGCTCCCACGACCTCCCCAACACCCGAGGTGCACGACACGACCGCTTGTTCGAACACTAGCGACACAAGTATTTATTCCTGTGGGTTGTGTCATCGTGGGTTATGTTTTCACTTGCTTTTCTTATTCGACCTTGGACCGCACAGGACCGCACTTGGAGCGGTTGCGGTTTTTTCGCACAACCACTGCGGGGCGGCACACCACGGGGCTCGAGGGGACGCGCACTCTGGCACATACTCGTAGGTACACCACGGCGCACGGGAGCAGCCGGCCGTGTGTGAGACAGGGAGAGAGTAGCCGTCGTCCGTCCCGTCTAAAATTCTTCTCTTTCGGTTGTATCTGTATCTGTTCGCCAGTGCGCCAGGGTAAATAAAGAAATAAAACACGAACACACCCAACAACCCAACCACACCCCACCCCCCCACCCACCACCCACGGCGAGATCCCGCCGGAGAATTCTCGTTCGAGATTCGGGACTGAACAATATGTACATCGGCACTCGTTTATCGAAACGCAGGATGGGTGCGCTCTCGCTGCTGCTGATCGCTGGCCTTCCCCACGCTCGCTGCGACCTCGCGCGTGCCGACGCGACTCTTCGGCCAAAGAAGCTCGGCGGCAGCAATCCGCGCCACGACCCGCTCCCAGCGCGAGTGAGTCGGCCCAACCCGGCCACGCAGCTGCCCTGGCCGCGCCGCTGGCTCTACACGGCGCTGCACGCGGTCGCTCGCGGCGAGGTTGCGCAGCCGCGCGTCGCCGTCTTCATGGTGGGCCTGCCCGGCGCAGGCAAGTCGCGTGTGATCGGGCGCCGCTACGAGACCTTCCAGGCCAAGCGGCGCAACAGCACGACGGTGCTCGACCTCGACATCGAGATTGCGCAGCACCCGAGCTTCGACCCGGCCGACCCGGACCGCCTCTACCTCGACTCGAGCCTGCAGGCCTACGCGTGGGCGGACCAGCGCATCGAGGCGCGGTTCGAGCGGGCGCTGACCGATGTCGCCGTCTCACGCCTCATCGTGGACGGCACCGGCACGAACCTGGAGCGGCAGGTGCGCCGCATGGAGCAGGCGCGGCAGGCGGGCCTCTTCGTCAAGGCGCTTTACATCCGCGTCCCCTGCCGCACCGCCATCGCCCGCGCCGCCCTCCGCCGGCGAGCCGTCTCGCCGGTCCGCATCATGGCGTACCACGAAAAGATGGACGCGGCGATGCGCGTGGCGAGGAGGCACGCCGACGAGGTGGAGGTCATCGACGTGACCTTCGACGATGCGCCGCAGCCTGGCACGATGGCCGGCATCGAGGCGAGCTGCAGCGCGTCATTATTCTAGCCCTAGCGCGGGGCGGCGGCGGTCGGGAGAGGCCCTCAGCGCTCAGGCCGGAGCGGAGCGTGGAGGGGCGAGAGACAGGCACAGTGTTGGTGTGGGGCGTGAGAGGTGTAACTTGTCAGACAGCACGCTTAAATTATTAGGAGAGATCAATAGCGGGCGCGGCTCCCGCGCCACAAGCATTCCTCTCTCACCATGACACGCGACGGCACACCGACACCCAGCACCGCCTCGTCAAACCGAGTGGGCGATGGCACGCTCGCTGGCAAATGCGGTGGCAACCAGCAGGAGCGAGCACAGCAAGGCGTAGAGCCAACCGGACCGTGCAGTAGAGGTTCGACTCTTGCGTGCACCCTGCATCGACGTCGGCAGCGACGCTGTGAGGGTCGAGCGGACCGCACGCCCCCGCTCGATGGCTTGCAGCCTGACGATCGCCATGGCTTCCCGCGCCGCGTCGGCCGCCTGCTGGATCAGCGCCTCCAGCTGCTTGCGATGCACCGACAGCGTGCCCATCGTCGGAAGCTGTGGCTGGCTGCACTGGAATGAAGCCGACGGAAAATTTGTTTTTTCTTTTCTCTTCTTTTACGTATTTTGATTTCAACGTTTTTGTATGTTTTCCTGCCTTTTAGTTTTTGAAAGATTTTTTGAGGTGCGTCGGGAGCGTCACCGAAGGGATGGCAGAGTTTACGTGAGATCGAGAGAGGCCTGCACATCGCGAGTTCGCCTGCTCGCGGAGTTACTTCTTGCGACGTCGTGTTTCTCCTTTTTTCTGCAGGATTACAAGAGACCTCCCTTCGCTTGGCATGCTCTCTGTCGTCGCGCCGCAGCTATCGCTCAGCACGGCGCACGTGGTTGGCGCGCGCCGCGCCCCGGCCGTCCAGGCGCGCCGGCGAAGCCGCACCAGCGCTCCCGGGCACCACAGCTGCACGCACCGTCCTGCAGCGCCGCCGCGGCCGCCGCCTCCCGTCGCCGCCGGAGGCTGATGAGCCCTCGCCTGGCCACCGCAGATGGCGGCGGGGCCGATGTACGACCAGCCGCTCGCCCCATCGACGATGGGCCGCGAGTTCATCAACTCGGCCCGCAAGCCTCTCTCTGAGTACGTGGGCGCGTCGCAGGCCGGCGCCTGTGGCCGGAGAGAGAGACACACGCACCCGGCAAGCAGGGAGAGGGTCCGTGCGAGCCGACCCCACTGAAATGCCGCCGCGTCGCCTCTTGCAGGAGCTCGCGGCGTTCCCCGGCGGCGGCGGCAAGGAGGGCGCTGCGCCTGTGCCGTGGGACCCGCTCCAGCTTAGCGAGCTGTGGAAGGTGGGAGGGAGGGAGAGAGAGCTCCTGCCCGGCACGCGATTCGCCCCCCCTGGTCCCGACCCGCGGCCACCTCGCCCCCTCCCTCGCCAGGTGTCCGCCAACAACCCCGACGTCGCCTGGCTGCGCGAGGACGAGCTGAAGCACGGCCGCATGAGCATGCTCTAACCCTACCCCTAACCCTAACCCTGACCCTAACCCTAGGCCGAGCTGAAGCACGGCCGCATGAGCATGCTCGCCATCACCGGAGTCATGGTGCAGTCCGCTGGCATCCACCTGCCAGGCGACAGCCTCCCCCACCCGCCCACCCACCGCCCCCCTCCCGCCCTCCCACCGCACACCCCTGCCCCCAGGCAACGCCGACATCTCCTTCGCCAACGCGGATTGGGCGATGGCGCCGACGACGCTGCCGCCCGCCGCCTGGGGTCAGGTCCTCTTCTTCATCGGTGAGATTACCCGAGATTACCCGAGATTACCCGAGATCCCTGGGGCCAGCTCCTCTTCTTCGTCGGTGCGCACACGTGCAGCCTGGCCGCCCCCTGCCCGCCCCCCTGCCCGCCACCTGCCCGCCACCTGCCCGCCACCTGCCCGTGTGACTCGGGGACACGGGCTCCGCTCCTCCGGCCACCCGTCCCGCCGCCGCCGGCTCACCGACGGAGCTGTCGACCCGCCCCTTCCCCGCCTCCCGCCCCCTCCCCGCCTCCCGCCCCCTCTGATCGGCGCCGCCCCCGGGAGCAGGCTTGGCCGAGGGTCAGACGAGCGCCGGCTTGTTCGACCTGTGGCTGGGCAACACGGAGAAGCGCGAGCCGGGCAACCTCGGGTGGGGCACGCAGTTCCTGTCAAAGGACAAGAAGGCGGCGGACAAGATGCGGCTCAAGGAGCTCAAGAACGGCCGCCTCGCCATGCTCGCAATCATGGGCGTCGCCTTCAACCACGTCATCCCCGGCGCGCTGCCAGGCTGCATGTACAACTAGGCTCTTGGCTCCCCTCGCCCTCTGCCGACGCTCGTGCGCCCGTGGCGCGTGTGGTGCGCTCGGGTAGTCGGCGGGTAGAGGGGGCTTTGCCGGGGGCTCTCTCGGGACTGGCGTTTCGCTTAGTTTGTGGCGTTAGCAGGGAGGTGGAGTGGGACCTGGCGTTTGCGAGTGGCCCGTGCACGTTGGGTGGCGGTGCGTCACACGTTTACGGAGCCATCCCGGTACCGCGCGTTGCGCGTACGATTCTGCGAAAAATCGCAAATATAAAATGAAAATCTTTTTAAAATCAAAATTGTCCAAAACGGGAAACGGCCGTCGGCACATACGGTCTCCGGCTGGGTACTGGGACGTGGGGGAGAGCGTAATCACTGTCGAGTCTGGCAGTCTAGTCAGACCCTGCGGGCCACAGGCCAGTGGCCCGCAGTGCAGAGGTGTGTGGGCAGAGCGCAGAGGCTGAGTGTCTGTCCCGTGTGGGTGGGGTGTGGCGTGTGTGTGCACATGCACTCGCTTGCTTGTTTTGGCTCCAGCCCTCCGCCCTCCGGGTCTTCATAGACCGGAGGGCTACGAAGCCTTCACACTCCAAGGGGTTGTGCACATGACGCGTGAGAGCCGTGTCGAGAGGGCCCCGAGCCCGCCCGGCGCGATCGACGCCACCCGCTATTGAGAGGCTGGTCCCGGCCGCAGGCGCAGGGCCGCCGTCCGTAGCCTCCACTGACACAGCTTGGGTTTGCTGCTCCGGATGCAAGCGCTGAGTCGAACCTCCGACCTAGCGGCAGTGGCGCCTGGAGGCGCTTTCGCAGATGAGCGATGGGTTGTGCTGTGAACCAACACGGCGACGCGTGGTGCTACCCCGAACGCGACACGTGGTGCTGGTACTGATGAGGTGCCTTGCGTGCGTGCTCTGCTTTTGTCAAGCTGACCACCCGAGCTTGTCGCCGGGTTTGCATTCGGCCGCGTGCGATTTGAGCTCGGCCTCCTGTTCCTTCCGCCTTCGGAGTTCCTCGGCGAGGCGGTACCGTTGAGGAAGTTTTTGGTTGCCACCAGTCGCTGTGGGGGCCTGAACGCAGCGTTGACTGATGCACACGTTGGCGAGGCTGGCATATTGTCGAGGTAGCCATACCTAGCCGCCAGCCGGAGCGCGTTCTCGGCAATCTCGACATCCTCTGCGCAAACATTTTGCCAACCCACGACGTACCTCTTGTCGCCCACGCTCGTTTGGTTTAAACCTCTCCATCTCGGGCTCGCCGCCCCTCTGCGTTGGAGAGTAGCTAAGAGCGCGTTCTCATTCAGGTCCTCGACACGAACGCGTGCGAGCGCGAACGGCTCAATTAATGCATTCCAACGCGTCCAGTACGCCATAGCCCTTGAAATGGGCTTGCCTGGCGGCGGCAGCGAAATGAATCGCGAAACCCAGCTCCACGACGTCCTTGTTTTGTGATGCTCGAATCTCACCACTTTGGGATCCTCGCTCTTGAGGTTTTGCGGAAGATTGCAAAAGCAAACTAGCAGCGAGTTCAAGACGGCAAGTGGGTGCCGCACCATCTGAACGACAGGGTTGAAGGCGGTCTGGTTGCCAGCGTACAGCCAGGGCTTGAAAGTTGAGTTCTCTCCTGGCCACATGATCCTCTGCGCGATCATACGCCCGCGATGCTCTGGGTGGAGGAATACAGCATGCGCCCAAGAGACGGTGCCTTCGCCGCCCACCGCCTCGTGCCGCACGTTGATGCCACGCGCTCGCAGCATGTGGAAGACTGCATGCGTGCCTGAGCGGCCAGCACCAGTGACGAGGAAGCGGCGCGGAGTGACGTGTGGCACGGGCAGCGAGGGCGGTCTCGGAACAGCAGTGCGACTGCTCGTCGCGACCATGACAGTTTGATTGAAGTTTTCGCGCGGCCGTCCTCCCCCTCTCCAGCTCGTTGAATAAATAAAAACGGTCAAACTCTGAGACGAGATGGGATTTAGGGACATGTGTCCCCGCCCTGCACGATCTTGGTGTGAGGGATCTTCAATCCGTCCCCTCACCCCTGGTCACTCCCCGACACTAGTCACTAGATAGAAGAGCAGCAAGAGTTGGGGCTGCGGCTACGCCTACGGCTGCGGCTGCGGGAGGGGCTATGGTCGCGGGAGAGCCGCTGCGCCGCGCGGGCGCGCCTACACCGCGCTTGATGTGTTAATGTTTAAGCCTGAGCTTTTCCGGACTGAGCACAACCCGACTCTTGAACACTTGAGAGCGAAAGAAAAGCGCCCCCTCCTGGTCTGCAAGTGAAGTTGCAAGTGCATTTCGCCATATTCCCGTAAATGCGTATACACGTATCTCTTTCTCTAGTGTCTTACTAGAAGCCTGCGCGCGCTGCGGTCTGCGCCTGGGCCACTGGGCGACGTGTTGTGCCGCGCGCTGGGGCCGCGTGTAGTCGCAATGCTTGTGGAGTGTCCGGGTGTTCCGCCGGGCTAGAGCGACCAGACGCAAATCTTCGTGTCGCCGCAGCCGGCGAGCACTCGGGCGGCGGTCGCGCCTTGCTTCCACGAGACGCTCGGCACGCGCGTCGGCAGCCCGTGCGTCAGGAAAGTCGACGAGTCGCTCCAGAGGCCTCGCTCCTCTCGCGACGAGGCGGCCGTGCGCAGCTCGTGGACCGACACGGCCGACGAGCGGCCCGCGACGGCGAACGACGTGCCGTGCGGCGCCCACCGCAGCGCGTGAGCGCCGCGCGTCTCGCCGCCTCCACCCCCAACGTGCGCCGTCGCAGCGCGGCCGGTGCCGCGCAAGTCCCAGCCGTACCAGGCGTCGCCCGCCACAGCGCAGACCTAGCGGGGAGGGCGAGGCGGTGACGTGGGGAGTGGGCGAGGCGACCATTTGAGCCCGCTCACCAAGTGCGAGTCGCCGGGGCACCAGTCGGCGTCGCGCAGGCCCGCCGCAGCCGCCGCCGGCGGAAGCGTGCGCGAGAGCGTGGGGTGCGGCCCTTCGGGCTCGCGCAGGTCGAGGAAATGGACGCCTCCGCACGCCTCCGCCACCATGAGATGGTCCGGCTGCGCGTGGTGCGCCCGGACCGCGACACCCTCCGAGTGCAGGGCTATGGTGCGGGAGAGGTTGGCTGCGCCTTCGCCGAGCGCCAGGAGGCTGCACTGGCGTGAGGCGCCGGTGAGGGCGAGCATCTCACGGGCAAGGTGACAGGCGCTGTACACAGGCGCGTTGACCACCGGGCTCGAGAGCTGAAGCACGCCAGAGGAGAGGCTGTGGCCTTGCGCAGCGCACAGGTGCTGCGACACAGACCCGCCCGCGATGGCCGTGAGGCAAATCTGGCCGTGCACACGGCCCCATGCGATGGCGTCCACGTCGCCGTCGATTGGAATGGCCATCCCTTCGGCGGGGGCAAGCGTGGCGCGCCCATCAGCTGCATCCCTCAGCTCGAGGAGCGCGGCCGTGTCGCCGGCAGCCGCCAGCAGGTGCGAGCCCTCCTCAAAGGGGCACCAGGCAACGCTCCTGACCAGCCAGCCGACGTTGGAGCAGCAGCTGGCGCCCAGCGGCCTGGCCGGCTGCTCCATGGCAGCAGGCGGCGGGATGCGGCGGCCCAGAGATTCGTGTGGAAGAAGTGCGTGAACCGCGCGCGCGCATTCCCTTGAGTCTCTGTTTTCTTTCTTACTTTTCTTCACTAGGGTACGTGTCAAGTCCAAGGAAGGGAAATCCAAAGTGCCCGCAAACTATCGGCGGCCAACCCGACATCGCGAGAAGCCGCCACTATCTCAACCTACCCCCCCAGACAGACCAGATATGGCGGACGACGAGGTCGCGGCGCTTGTTGTGGACAACGGCTCGGTCGGGCATGTGCAAGGCTGGTTTTGCCGGCGACGACGCCCCGCGCGCCGTCTTCCCCTCCATCATTGGCCGGCCGCGTCAGCCGGGCGTGATGGTCGGGATGGGGCAGAAGGACTCGTACGTTGGAGACGAGGCGCAGTCCAAGCGCGGCATCCTGACGCTTATTCTGATCGCTGTCGCGAAATTGAGTTTTTCGGATCAACCTTCTGTGAATCGTGCGTGTGCGAGCATCGTCTGAAGAAAGGAAGAAAACGGACGGCAACTAGGGATGAGGGGGCGGACCATGCGCGCGCAGATTTCTTTTTGTGCGAACGGCGTAAAAAATCTTTTCCCCAGCTTGATATGGCGCCCGCTCGCGCGAATTCGTCGCGGGCCACAGCGTCCGAGCGCCTCGTGTTGATCCCAGCCGTCGGCTGGTTCGCCACCGCCGAGGAGGCGGCGCTCTTCTACGCCCGCAGGGAGGCGGGCAGGGGCACCAGCGATCTCACCGCGCCGCCGCCACCGCCGCCGCCACCTGAGCCTTCCTCTGCTGCTGGCGCCGAGGCAGTCCGCTGTCCGGCAGGCGAAGAGGCAGGGCCTCGCTCTAGTCACCAGTTGTGGCAACAGCGGCTACAGGGGAGTGTGCTACTGCCCGAAGCAGAAAGGCCGCAAGAAGTACCAGCTGCAGGTGAGGGTTGGCGGCAAACTAGTCACCCTCGGCTGCTTCGCCACCGCCGAGGAGGCGGCGCTGGCGCGTGCGCGGCACCTGTGGGACGCGACCATCCGACTGCTCGAGCCGCAACCGCAGCGAGCACCGCCGCAAGGCGCAGCAGGGCCGTCAGAGGCCAGCAGCGTCGAGGAGGAGGACGGCTTCGACCCGGCGGACATTGCCGATGCCGTGGCTCTCTCGCTGCTCTCCGACCCGCCGCCTTCCGCGAGCGAGCAGCGGGCGGCGAGGCGGCGGGCGCGCGCAGCAGAGCAGGCGGCGGCGGCGGAGGCTGCAGCGGCGGAGGGTGCTGCCCCGCCATGGGACGACGAGGTGGAGGTGGAGGCGGAGCAGGAGAGCGACAGTGAGGAGTCGTCGGAGATGGAGGTGGAGGCGGCTGCCGCAGTTGCGGGCGTGTCCGCAGCTACAGCAGCAGAGGAGGAGGCCCTCGAGTGCGTTATTTGCTTGGACGACCTCAGCGCACACCCCGAGGCGCGCCTGCAGCCTCGCGACCCTAAGGGCTGGGGCGCCACGCGCTGCTGCAAGAGCCTCTTCCACTACCACTGCCTGCACACTTGGCTCAACGACGACAGCGAGGTCGAGACGAGCTGCGGGATGGAGCCGATCAACACGGCTTGCCCCGGCTGCCGAGGCTTCGTGTCGAAGTCGACGTCACGCATGCTACGCTAGAGCACACCGACTACGCACTGTCGGAGCCGCTCAAGCCTCAATCGTGGGCTTTTCCTCCCTTGTAGCGGCTAGCGCCTAAGCGCCTGCTCGTTACGCACAGTCTCCTTTTGCGGGGGCCTGATACATCATACGTGGCTGGGTTCACAGCCTTGTTATGAGAAGAAAATACGTCCTATGGCGCTGTGCGCTGGTCTGTGAGAGGTTGAGGTTCACAGCCTTGTTATTGAGAAGAAAATACTTCACAGCAAGATTGTACCTAGGTACCGGGTAGGAATATGTCGGGACCAAATCACGGTTGCGGCCTTCCGACTCGCGCGCCTTCGCCTCACTGGCACTATTGTAGCCCTGGCCGGTGCGCGTGCAGAGTTGAAGTTCCGGAGTGAAAATTCGAACGCGTTCTCTCACAGTGACCAAAAAATGTCCACCTCAGAGGCACCTCCGGAGGCAGGCCGCCGCATGCCGGCGACACAGCTCCAGCTGTCGAGCTGACCCGCAGCTCCTCTCAGAGCGGGAACTGTGACGAAGGTTGACTGAGGCGGTTGTCAGGAATCATCATACGGATCACATGGTGGCTCTCTCATGACGGGAGACCGCCCGACCACTCCTGGGTGGCACTGCCACCGGTGTCGCTCGACGTCCTCCTGTCGACAGCGTGCCGACAGCGACACAGACCATGTGGGACGCGTCGAGTATCGACCTCTACTGCTTACCCAGCCTTCGGTTGTATCCTGGCTGTCGTCCCACACCCACTGGTGTCCATCTCAGAGACCGCAGGAGGTCATGAGGGTCGATGGGAGTGCCAACCCCACAATGGTGCCTAAAAAAACCCAGCCCAGTACAAGAAACTGTCACATTAAGAAACTGTGCTAGGGGATTTAAAGAGGTCGGCTAAGAAACTGTACTAGCCCCTAGGATTCCTGTTTTCTTAATGCCCGCAAAGGACTGTATAGAGATCCCTCGCCCTAGAGACCTAGAGAGGGCCCGCGTCGGGTCACCGTCCGCGGGCTACCGGGTCGGGTCACCGTCGGGTTGACTTGCCACGGACTGGCCGCGCACATCCACACGCTCCAATAGCCGGATCCACTGCGCGTCCTGCTCGGTTGTGAGCTGCAGCGGCCTGAACTCGGGCGGCAGCTCGTCGGCTCCAGAGCACGGGAGGGTGGAGGCTCCGAACCTGTCCTTGCGGGAGATGCAGCCGAGGTCGGGGAAGCCACCGAGAAGGTGTGCGTGCGCTTGCAACGACGCGACGCGTGGGTTGACAAACACGAGAAGGTGCAGCGTTAGGTGCTGCGCCCGGTAGGGTTTGCCGCTGGGCAGCTGCGGTTTGGCATCCGTCGAGCTCGAGGCGATCGCCCGCGCCGTGCGGGTAAGCTCGGACTGGTACACGAAGCCGTGCGCCTCGAACTTTTGCCGCCACCAGGAGGAGTGATGCACTTCGACGTGGTGCCAGCCGCCCCACGTTGAGTGCGTTACAAAGAGGTACGCCGCTTTCTGGAGGATGGGCATGTAGTTATTGATGTACTGGCGGCCCACGTGCTCGAGAAATTCGACCGCCCAGGCGACATCATAGGTTTCGCCGGGCCACCAGGGGCCACGGGTGAAGTCGTGCTCGACGAGCAGCGCTGGAGGCAGCAAAGAGTTGCTCGTCGCGTCCCTGGAGCCCTCGACGCAGCGCGTCCGCGCCCCATGTAGCTTGAACCACGCTGCGGACGTGCCAATCCCACAACCTACATCGATCACCGAGTGCACGGTGAGGTTGGTCAGCATCCAGCGCCAGACTCCCGGCGAGATGCCGTCAATGTCAAGATCAAAGCTGAAGCCACCGAGGTGATGCAGATCCCTTTTCCCGCCATAATTGAGTTTGGCACGCCGCTCTGCAAAGAGTGCACCCTCGCTCGCGCTGGCCTGCAGACCAGGGAGCGGAGCGGGCTCGCGGTCGTCAGGTGCTGGTGCTGCTCCCACCAAGGCCAGCGAGAGCATCATGGCACACACCGCGCGAGCAAAAGCCTCGCCCCGCTCTCCCATCCATGTTCTCTGTCTCGTCTCTCGTGCTGTCCGTTTGCAATATGCAGAAAGTCGTTCGCTCACACTCCTCATAGTCATGAGTACATGTAGCCACAGCTCTACTACATGAGTGATGCCTCTCCCCCCCCCTTCTCTCTCTCTCTCTCTCTCTCTCTCTCTCTCTCTCTCTCTCTCTCTCTCTCTCTCTCTCTCTCTCTCTCTCTCTCTCTCTCTCTCTCTCTCTCTCTCTCTCTCTCTCTCTCTCTCTCTCTCTCTCTCTCTCTCTCTCTCTCGGTATGAGTGGGTAAAAAGGGTTTCAACGTGTGGAAGATAAAGAAATTGAGCACGTAAGGTTCTGGGCGTGCGGTTAATGACGGCACTCCACAAGTGCTCCGAGGAAGGCCATTCTTTTTTCTCTCCGACCGATGGGGGGGAGCCAGGAGCCTCATCACTGTAGGACTTTTAGATTAATCTTTTAGACTTTTTGTAATATAAACGGAGCAGTCTCTCTCTGTTGGGTTCAGAGAGAGATTGTGATTTGTGTTGTTTGGGTTCAGGAAGTCAGTAGAGAGGACTGTGTATGGCGATCCGCACTTGGAGCACTTGGAGTGCAGTTATCAACCTCACATCCAGGGCCGGGGAGCTGAGAAGCGCACCCAGCGAGCCGGATGATCGGTGTCGGGTTACGGGCTAGAGAGCCCTAGCCCCGGGGGTGCGCATTCGCAGGGAAAGGGCCTTAGAGTAAACACGGGTCTCCGAGGGTTGGCCCCGCGTACCGGGTTTCCCCTTAACTGCAGGACGCCCCCTCTACTCGGAGCTAGTGAACACCACACTGCACGCCCCACACCACCACAGACTCAGGGCCTTGTTGACAGCAGCCAGCTTGTTGCGCTGCTTCGTTGCGATGAGCTCATTGGGATCGCAGAAGTGCATGCCAAGCACCGCCACGATCTTGAAGCAGAACACATCGCAACCGCATCGTCCGCACTGCCATCGGCATGCCGCGCCCGCCGCTTCGCCGCAGCCGCCTTAAGGCACGCATAGCGGCAGCATATGGTACGTTGCGCGTACTTGAGCAGGCGTTGCGCGCCGCAAGTAGCGCACTGGCCCTGGGAGAAGGCGATATGGCGTCGTGCGCGGCAAACGTTGGTCGGGACGCGTCCAGGTATTTTTCGGGTAAACCTGAAAGCTTTTCAGGTATACCCGGGTTTTACCCGGAGTTGGCCTTATGTCGTCTAAGTTCATGGCCCCCGACCATGGGGGTCTAAGTCCGAGCCCGGCTCCGTGCGCGGGCTAAGTTGAGCGCTCGCTCGCTGCAGAGGCTAAGTGTAGAGCGACCCTCTAGCCCTACTACCCAACCATTACGGACAGGATGGAAGAGTAAGAAGAGGGGGGTCATCCGCTCGAAGACAGATATGAGAAACAAACTACGGGGCCGGTCGGGAGCGGCGCCGGTTTGGGCGGCATACCACGCATGGCAGAACAAAGGTGGAGGCGCAACGGCCGGCGTTCGAAAGGTCCGCTGATAGGTGTCACTGTCAGCGCTGCTCTCCCAAATGCCAAAATCTTCGCACATTGAGCTGTTCGGGCATAGTGCCAGCGCCTCACACTTCCATGGACTTGCCGCGGTGTGAGAGTCGACTGTATGCGTCCCATGCCTGGCGAGTGGAGTTCAAAGGCTTTCAGGGACTGGTGAGGTATGGGGAGGAGGGGCTTGGAGGGGAGAGCCGCCTGCAGGTTTGCGAGCCAGCTGACAAAGTCGGCCGGTGCGTCCGCTCGAAGGTGGACGAGCGCCCCGCTGCTCTTGAGCACGATGGTCAGGCAGCTCAGCTCCTCGCTGCTCGCGTGAATGCGCACCCGCTCCGACCACTCCACCGTCCTCCACGCCGACGTCTCTGTCGGAAACTCCTCCGTATAAGACAGGACCAGCGCGTTGAGGTCGGCGGTCCAGCGCAGTCGGAAGAAGTGACGCCGCGTGCTGGAGGTGCCCAGGAGCCCCTGCACCGCCCGCGCGAGCGTGCCCTGCACCTGTGAGTCGTGAGCACGAGGACGGGTGGGGATGGCGTTGACGCCTCCCTGCGAAACCACGTGCATATGTGGTCCAGCGCCTGGTACCGCATCTTCTCGTCGGCCATCGGGGGGAAGAGCCGAGCTTGCCTGCGGTGAGAGGAAGGCCAGGGCACAAAGGCTCAGCCGCCGTTCATGTGCTAGGCGTCCTCTGCGCCAACTATCTCCACGCACCGCACAAGGATCTCGTCCTCCCAGCTCCGCACCGCACGCAGCCACCGCTCGAAATCGGCGCGCCTGCAGTCGAACAGGGGCGACGTTGCTTTCGCTGACCTCGCGTGCCGCAGTGTCGCCACAGTTGCGCGCTCAAGCAGCCGAAGAGTGATGAACCGTCCGCTGCCGACGAGCTTCAAGGTAATTTCGAACCTCCGCTCCAGCGCCTTGATGCCTCGCACCTGCACCAGCCCACGTTTAGGGTCAAGTGTTTGCACTTCACGGATAGCATGGCGACGTCCACGCACACCTGATGCCATTGAATCTCGCGCGCGGCCGGCGGGAGCTCGTCCGGCCCCGGGCCCGCCTGGCCACTACTCTCCCCCATGGAGGAGTGCCCCGCCGCCGGCCTCGCCTGCTCCGAGCTTATCGGTCGCGATTGTCGCACGCCGCGCTCCTTGCTCTCAGAGGGCACGGGGCATAGTGTCAGCTTCGAGAGGTAGCCATCCGGCGCCATCCAGAGCGACGCCTCATTTGACACCGTCGTGAACTTTGAGGCTTCTGTCGCGACCCACACCGTGCAAGCCAAGTGCGGGTACGGCTCTGGAGTACTATTCGGCTTCGGTTGGTGGCGCATGAAGGACTGCTTGCTCGTTGCCTAGGGCGCAGAGGCTTGGTGAGGATTCAGCTCTGCACTTGGCTTGCGCTCTTGCTGCAGAAAGGCGCAGCGTTGTGCTCCTCCTCTTCTACGCTGCGCTACCAGCTGCTCCTCTTCTACGCTGCGCTAAAAGGCTACAGGCACCGGGTGGATGGCATGATGGCGCGGCCCGTCGAGCGCGGGGGGGGACTTCGACATTGCTCGTCCCGCCAGAGGTTCGGGAGGCGCGCGCTGCAACGCGCGCTGCAACGCGCGGGCGACGACCCTGCCAAGAGCTCTTGTTTTTCGTTGAAAGGGGGCGGCCGGCGTTTTCGGCTTTTCGGGGCGGGGACCCTTGTTTGGCTACTAAATCTCGCTTGCGTCCATCCTTACCGCCTCCGCCAAGGCGCTGGCGCCGGCCAGTCGCAGCCGGCATGCAACAGCAGCAGAGGCACCTGCCAACCGTTGGGCGGGCAGCACTGCCATTGGCAAGTGCAACGCGCCTCACTCGTGTCGGAGAGCGACCGTGCCTCGTTCGCCGCTTATGTTGTAGAGTTTGTTGTAGAGATTTGACGTTGTAGAGCGCCTCTACATCGCTCTACAACGCACGCGGTCCGTCACGCGCCTGATGTAGAGCTCTAGCTCTACAGTGCTCTACAGCGCTTCAGCGCTCTACATCTCTACAGTACAGCTTACAGCGAGCGAGCGCTCATCTCCCTCCCTCCCTCCTCAGTTTCCGAGTAGCGGGTACTGTTGCGCGGCGGATCTGTGAGCGGTGATCCTTCGTAGTCATAGACATGATCCACATGAACGCTCCAAAGCAAGAGAGCCGTGACCCGTGAGTCGCTTCTGAAGTTTGGAAATCGCCCTTCAAACGCAGCGAAGCTGTCCACAGCGAATCGCCCGCCGTTGCGTGCGACCGAAAAGCGCAACTTTCCGCCCCGGCCAACATCCCGCGCAAGGGGGCAGCGCTCGTGCTGTGCTGCAGCAAGGCAGCGACGGCGCCCAGCGCCGCGCATGGCTCCACCACTGCCGTTGCTGCCGCCGCTGGCCCCGTCCACTGCTCTGCCAAGACCACCACTGCCAGCGCCATTCCCGCCGCTGCCTCTGCCGGCGCCACCACTTCCAGAGCCACTACCGCCTCCGTCTCGGGGGAAAATTCTTTTATGCGCCAGTCTTGCCAGTCCGTGTGTTTTTCTTCTTTTATGCGTTTGATACATGAAATCTTTCATCCGCACCTGCCACATCGCAGCACTTGGAGCACTTGGAGTGCAGTCAGTAATAACCGCACATCCAAAACACATCCAGGGCCGCAGAGCAGATTGTGAACTAAACGAGGGGAGACCTCTCTCTCATTGACAAGAGCTTGTGCCTGCGGCGAGCGAGCGGGCGGTCGAGACGTAGCTAACCTCGCCGTCCTCGCAGGAGTCGCTTAGGCGGCTCCCGTGGCGTACCTTTTAATTCTTTTACCCTCAATTTCTTTTTCTTGACGTCCTCGCGGGAGTCGCTTAGGCGGCTCCAGTGGTGTACCTGTGTTAGTGCCAGTGCGTGCCAGTCCCGTGCCCAGTGTTGTGCGAGGGAGTTTACTTGTAAAATTCGCCTTTGCAGTGCCAGTCCCGTACCCGGTGTCGTGCGAGGCCACCCTTAAAATTCTTTTTCTCAGCCGGCTCTTCAAGCGCACCGACACGGACGAGACGATGTCTCAGTTCGGACCGCCGCGGCCAGCCCCCGTTAAGGCCTCGGCCAGCCGCGCTGCCCCCAGCCGAGTGGCGCGGGAGGCGGCCCACGCAACGCTGAAGGCGCAGCTGACGGACCTTCAGCGCCAGAACGAGGCCCTCATCGCCGAAAAGACCGAGCTGGCCGAGGCGCAGCGGGAGGTGCAAAGCTCGCTGGCGTGCGCTCTGGAACGTGAGGGCGCGCTTGCGGCGATCCTCTCCAGCGGCGGTATCAACGCCATGGCACGCGCCCCCATCGACTGGTCCACTGAGGACGCTAAGCAGGCGCTCGCTGAGGACGAGGCTCGCGCCGAGTTCTGTGAGCAGTTCGACGCCCGCATCCGATCTGGCCGCGAGAGGATGGCACAGCTTCTTTCGGAACAGAAAGCGTTGCATGCCTCGCTGGATCAGCCTTGCGCCCTAGCTTAACGCCGTCTCGGTCTCTGAACCCCGAGCGATATGTTTCTTGTTTGGCCGTGCGGAGACCCCGGCTCTGTGTGTATGTCTGTATGGAGTATGGGATGTGAGCTGTGAGCTGTGAAGGTCGGCCCGCAGGCAGATCCGTGAGCGGCGTTAGCCGTACGGCTCTACATGGTAATTGGTATTTTATCTATATTAATAACTGACCCTGAGGGCCCTTCGTTGGCGTACCCCGCGCAGCCTGCGGTGCGGTGAGAGGAGCAACATAGACGCCTCGCCGGCTAAACAACCTCTCTCCCAACTCTCACGGTGGCAGCGTTGGTGTTTGGGAGCGCTCGGCGCTTCGGTGAGCCGCAACCGGTTCGCGGTTGCGCCCAGAGGGGCACGCAAGACCGCGGGCGCCTCGGGTTGTCCACCAGCGGGGTGGGTAGGGCGGCCGGTATCTCTCCGCCGCGCTGCCACCCCCGGGGAGGCGAATTTGCGGTGCGCTGCAACGCCAGTCAGTGCACACCGCATCGGCAGTCAGATCTTGCGTATTGATCCGAACGTCCCTCCACCCGCGTACATCCAGTTGGTCTGCTCGATGTGCTTGACCTCCTCACGCAGCTCGGCCATGATCAAGGACATTTTCTCTACGGCGGCGCCGGAGAACGGGGTGAGAACTGTGTGGGGTTTTGCGCCGCTCGCGCCTGCCGCCGCATATGCGCACCGCGTTCTGACGCGGTCGTCCTAGTTGCCTCCGCCTCCGTCTCGGCCACGGCAACGTACTTGCGAAGCTCCTCCGCCCCCGGTGGCAGCGTTCTCCTCCCGCCGTGCTCCGTCTCCATCGAAGCGCGCGTTGAGCGAAAAGAAAAAAGAAAGGAAACAGCCAACCCAAGGGAGGGATGGGAGGACGGCACGCCGCCACCACACAGGGATTTTAAGGAGAGGTGTGTGGTGCGCTAGCCGTCGCCCACCCTAGGGAGTCTGCCTCTTCCTATCTCTCTTCGCAGTCTCTCGCCGCTTCTCGCTGCAATCTTCATGCCACCTCGCGGTCGTCCCACTCTCGTCGTTCTCTCCCTTGTCATTTCCTCCTCTGTCGCGTCGTTCTCTTCTGCCTCGTCCTGTGACGCCGCCGCCTGCCGGTCCCTTGTTCTCGCGGCTTCTTTCGCCTTTCGGCGCAACTCCGTCCTCCTCGCGGCGTATCCTGGCCCCTCGAGTCTATCGAGCTCCCCTCGCGCAAGGACCACATTTCTGACTCCCACTCCGATCATTTGCCTCCAGGTCATGTTGTTGCTCAGGTCCACTCTCTCTTCGAACACTCGTGCCTCTACGGATGATGCCGGCGCTGGCCGGCCGGGGGGGAGTGAGTGGTCCAGGGTCCAGCGGGCCGCTCGCAGTGCCCTTCGCCGGCGGACGGAGAGGTGGGCTCGGCTACCACGCGCACTAAGTTAGTGCGCGTAGGGTAGTGAGTGGGCCGCCGGCGAGCGGGCTAGTGGGTGAGTGCCTCCTGCCACCCCGCGCACTAAGTAAGTAAGTAAGTAAGATAGTGCGCGTAGTGGGTGGGCCGCCTTCTAGTGGTCGGCGAGGCCGTGGCCAGTGCCCCGGCCCTGCGGCGTCGACTAGTGGGTGAGTGCTCGCCGACCCTCCCCACACTAAGTCGGCATCGGAGGTGTGTTTTTTAGTTGGCTGAAGGCTCCTGCGCACTCAAAAATATCTTGGGGCCGAGAGATTGTCGGCAGATTGTTGCGCCGCCGTCGCCGCCGTCGCCGCTCATCCCGCTGACGCTCAGATGTCGACCGTCGGGCCTCTCACGGGCCAGCTGTGCGCCCTCGCCTTCTTGGCCAGGATCATCGGCCCATCCTCGCCGGCGGTCGGGCGCGTCACCGGTGCCTACCTCTTGCTGTGCACGCTCGCCGCTGTGGTCAGTGTCACAGGTGGTACGGCGCGAGCTCAGATGCTTGGCGAGTCAACGACGGGCGCTGCGCTGCTTTGGCGGCTTCTCGGTGCGCTCGCGTACACGGACGAGCTCGGTGCCCGGTTTGCGGTGCAGCTTTGGCTCTTTGGCGGCTTCTCTTCTGAGCTGGAGCAGGACGGGCGCTGGGCGGCCGTGCCGCACCGCTACGCTGCGCTCCTCGCGCTGGGCGCGGCGCTGATCTGCTCGCTCTGCGCTGCTCTGCCGTGGCGGGGCGAGCAGCCGCTCCTGGTCGCGCAGCCGCTCGCCTTCTTTGTCGTCAGCCTCTGGGCCCGGGCGGAGCCAAAGCGGCGCGTGCAGCTCGGCGGCGCCGTGAGCGTCGGCGCTGCTGCGGCTCCTTGGTGCCTGCTCGCGCTGAGCGTGGCCGTGGCCGGCTCCCGCGCCTCGCTCCCCAACCTCATCGCCCTCGGCGCAGCCCTCGCGCTCGACGCTGCTCTGGCCGCATGCCCGCCGCCGCCGCCTGCGGTGCGGAGCTCGGCTTCGGCGCTCGCTGCAGCGGCGGCGGCGGGAGGCGGTGTTGCTGCTGCGGCGGGCGCGGCGGCGGCGGCGCGGGCGGCCAAGGGCGGCTCTGGCGGCGTGAGGTGCCGGCTGGCCCGCCTCTCGCCGCTCAAGTCGCTCCGGTCCCTCGAGGGCGGCAAGAGGACGCTGCGGTGGGGCCAGCCGGCGCTGGCTGTGCTGGCGCGCGCTCGGTGGAGGCCCTCCCGCGGCACCCGGCTCGCCTCACCCCCTCCTCCCCCTCCGCCAGGTCCTCGCGTGGCACGGCCGCGAGCGCCTCACCGCCACCCTCGCAGAGATGCGCGCCGAGGCAGCCCCCCACGGCCCTCTGCTCCGCCCCCCACGACCCTCTGCTCCGCCTCCCACGGCCCTCTGCTCCGCCTCCCACGGCCCTCTGCTCCGCCTTCCACGGCCCTCTGCTCCGCCCCCCACGGCCCTCTGCTCCGCCTCCCACGGCCCTCTGCTCCGCCTCCCACGGCCCTCTGCTCCGCCCCCCACGGCCCTCTGCTCGCCCCGCCACCCGCACCGCCCTGAGCCGCCCCTCGGACCAGGTGGTGCTCTGCCGCTCCCTCGCCGCCGCCCTCGCCCCTCGCGACGCCGGCCCCGTCGCCGCACTCTTCGACCGCTTCTCGCGCGCGCAGCAGCAAGCCGCGGCGGCGGCAGCACTCGGCGCCGTCGCGGGCGGCGCGGCCGACGGCGCAGAGGGCGGTAGCCTGACGGCGGACGCGCTGACCATCTTTGCCCTCTGGTCGTTCGGTGCACACTCGCCCCGCAAGGGGAGGGGGAGGGAGGGGGGGGGGGGGGGTTGCCCCTTCTTGCCCGTGGCAGAGGCTCACGAGGCTCGCTGCTGCCCCGCCCGCCAGGCGCAGACCACTGGGCCCAGAGCCTGCAGCAGCGGCAGCCCGGCGCGGTCAGCCTCCTGCACGGCGGCGGCGACGACGAGCCTCTGAGGCAAGTCGTCTCCCAGGCGCCTCCCTAGCGAAGCGGCCCCTCTCGCCAGCTCGACCTCGCTGCACTCTCCGTGGCGACCACTTCCCCCACTTCACCACGGCCCCCCTCTCCACCCCCCCTCTCCTCCCTTCCTTGGGTCGTCCCGCAGGCGCTGGCGAGGAGCGACGTCGGATCGCTGGCCGGAGGCGAGGCGGCGCAGGTGGCGGAGGTGTTTGAGCTCCTCGGCCTCTCCCGCCTCCTCGTCACCCCCGAGGCGCAGGCGCGGGTCGGCGCCGCGATCGACGCGCACCGCCAGCAGCGCGCGCGGGTCGCCGCCGCGTGGGCCTCGATCCGCGAGGCCGCGGCGGGCGGCGGAGGCGGGGCGGGCGGCGGAGGCGAGGCGGCGGCGCCTGCGTCGCTGGAGCAAGCGGTGCATGTCTCCCTCGAGCAGTACGACTTGCCGATGTCGATGAGCGACTCGCTCGTCCTGTCGGAGCTGCTCACCCTGATCGAGCTGCCGCGCAGCTCCGTTCCCTTCCGTGTGGAGGAGCTAACTCTGACCCTAACCCTAACCCTGACCCTGACCCTAACCCTGACCCTGACCCTGACCGTTCCCTTCCGGAGGAGTCCCCCGCCCCCCCCCCTCCCCCTCCTCCTCTCCTTCCTCTTCCTCCCTCGCCCTCTCCTCCCTCTCCTCCCTCTCCTCCCTCTCCTCCCTCTCCTCCCCCCCCCCCCCCCTCTGTCTCCCTCGCCCTCCCCGCCCCGCCCCTCCTCCCTCCTCCTCTCACAAACCCACATCCCCCTCCCCTCCCCAGGAGGAGCTCCTCGCCGCCGTCGCAGCGCACCGGAGCCAGCGCGCCATCGCTTCGGCCAGCAGCCTCGCCCTCGTCGCTCAGAAGCTGCGTGCGGCGCTGTACAACGACTCGACCGCCCTCGACGCCGACGGCGCCCCGCTCCTCGCCCCCTCCGAGACGTGGTCGGTGGCGGCGATCAACGGCACGGTGCACGCGCTCGTCGGCGAGGCGCTCAACTTGCTCGAGCTCGAGCCGGAGCAGGCCGAGCCGGAGCAGTGGCGGTCCTTGCTCGGCCGGCTCAACCTCTCCCACTCCGACGCGGAGCAGCTCACGCCGCGGCTGGCCGACGGACCTCTCCCCTCCAGCGTGCCGCCCGCCGAAGCAGGCCGCCCTGCGTCTGCGGGCGGCGCGGGCGGCGGTGGAGCCGGCGACACGCTGCTGCGGCTCGCCTTCCGCGAGCAGCGCGAGAGGCGCGCGCGAGAGTTGCTCCCCCCTCCGCCGCAGCCCTCCGCCGCAGCCTTCCGCAGCGTTCGCTGAGCTCGCGCCTCTAGGCGCGCCGCCGAGTGGCTCGCGAGCCGCGCCTTCGAGGAGCTGATCGCGACGGTGCGCGCGGAGGACCCCTCCCTCGCCGACGAGGACCGGCGGCGGGCGGAGCAGCGGCGCGTGTACGAGGGCCGCCGCCTCGGGCTGCTGACGACGCTGCTGCGGCGGTCGGCCGAGCTGGGGCTGGCCGGCTCCCGCGCAGACGAGGCTGCCGAGCTTGGCGGCGCGCTCCTCTCCGAGCCAGGCGTCGCCGACGGGGTGGCGGAGGCTGCCGCCGCCTCCTCCTCCCCTCCCGACGAGTGGGGGTTCGGCTCGGGCGCCGCCGCCCTCGCCGCGTGGCGCGAGGAGGCGGCTGCTCTCCGCGCGGCACGCGCCAGCTGGGCGGAGGACGAGGGGAAAGGCGGGGTGGAGGAGCGGACCGAGGAGGAGGAGGAGAAGCGGCGGCGGCGCGACAAGGCGAAGTCCCCACCCCGCCTCTCTCTCTCTCTCCCCCTCTCTCTCTCTCTCTCTCCCTCCCTCTCCCTCTCTCCCTCTCCCTCTCCCTCTCTCTCTCCCTCTCTCCCTCTCCCACTGCTCACCCGAGAACTCTTGTCCGACGAGCCCTCTATCTATCCATCTTGCCGTACGTACTCCTCCATCTGTTCTCCCCTGCATCTCCGAAGTAACCCCTCTCGCTCATCCTTGTTGTGCCTCTTCTGCTCT